ATACATGTTACCCATACATGTCACCCATACATGTCACCCATACATGTTACCCATACATGTCACCCATACATGTCACCCATACATGTTACCCATACATGTCACCCATACATGTCACCCATACATGTTACCCATACTTACCAATGTAACAAAATACATTCATAAAACTCAGGATTTCTTTGCAAGTCAGGGTTAACTAATCCTAAGATCAAAGTGGCTCCATCCAATCAGGGTTTCTGACTCTGAACATGTGGGCATTAATGAAAACATGTAGAGTTAAAATTTTACAAAAACTCTGCAGAAAGTAATCTTCCATAAAATAAATGAACCAGAAGTGAGAAAGTGTGAAGTTTACTACTGGTTTCAGTGTGCATCTCTTTTAGGTGCTCCAGAGGAACCAACATGTCGTAAAATAGTTCCTACCTGACAATTTCCTTACTGACGTTTATTGTGGAACTAAATACATAATAAATAAATAATAATAAATAAATGTCATTAACCAAACCAAAATAAATAGAAACAACAAATGTGTCAAAATTATGACAGTAAAACTGTTAATGGTCGAAGTCAGCAAATCTTATAAGCATCAAAATCTGGATTTTTTTCTGAAAGTTTTTATTTCAGCTTTTGATCCAACTAAAGCGTTTATCAAGTTACAGTCAATGAATTATATTTCAGCAGGTAACATTTATTTTCTTTTATTATTAAAATATATTTTTTTGAAAATTCAATAATATAAAAGAAAAACAGACCAGAATGTCTTCCAATTTTTTTTGTATTTTAATTATTTTTTTAATGATTTCTGTTTTGTCTTTGCCAAAAAGTCGAAAATGACAGCAGTGAACTTTAAATGAACTGCAGGCCATGTCGTTATTCGCCTCACTCATTCCTCCACCCCTCCATAGACAGAGCCATTGGTGTTGGCTCTGTCTAATAAAGTTGAAATCCCATAATACTAATCCCATAAACTAATGAACGCTTGCTGCTTAAAATGTGGGTGGCTTCGTAATGAAATCACACAGCTCTACACAATTAGTGGAGCTAGCAGAAAGTGCTTACAGCGACGTTAACACAGCAGCATGGACAGCTCACAGGTGTCCAGTCCTGTTCATGGCTACTGGCTGTTGCACCTGTGTTGACCCTTTCATTAGTGTTTCATTGTGTAATAACTAAAATCCATTCCCTCCCCAATGATTTTCTAACTATTGCCTTAGTGAAAGCGCCTCCTTCACCGGGAAACATGCTGCTCCAAGTCATCACATAAAGCAGGTGAACGTCTCAAACTCTAATGGCTGTTTTGCGAAGCAGCGTGAATTACCAGAGAATAAGACAAAACCAGTTAAAATGTCAAAATTAGTTATATTATTGATTTTAAAGACCAAGCATTGGTGCAAAGGTTTTAGGCTAAGGTTCATTGTGACTGCAGGGTGGTTAAATACTCACATGTTATTTAGCAATCAGAAGCTGGAGATTGGTTTTGGGGTTTCATAACAAATACAACTTGCAGAGATTTTATTTTCTTTAGAGCTTGAAAATAAAATTTGAGTGAAAAAGGAGCAGAATATTTAGATAAACTGTTTAATAGAGAAGAAACGGCTAAATGTTTTCGACACTACCAGAAAAGAGGAAGTATTATTAATATTAACTAACTAATTATTATTTTGGTGCTTGGGGATCCTTTCATGGCTGAAAACTAAAATGTCTTGTCAAACAGCTGAACTGAATATCCCACCATCTTGAAAGCAACATATCCAAAGTCATGATTAGCTTCAGCGCCCAGTTAGATCTTGAGATGCTGCTCCTGGCTGTGGAGAGGCTCACACACCTCCAAGCTGCACAAGTCGATCTTTTCAAATCCAAAATGATTTTAATGCTGTCAAAGCATCCTGGCATCATGAGAGGCGGATGCTGGGGGTTGTAATATTTTGTAGTGTGAATCATAAACAGTGGTGTGGTTTGGTCAGGAAGGCAGTTTAAAACTTCAGATTTTGCTTGAATGATTCCTCCTGGTTGCTTCATGTTGATCTTCTCACGTTGCTGATGAGTTAATGTACAGAAACAGCTGGAAATTGAAGAACATGGAAACAGATTGGACCAACTGCACCACAATTATGAGTCAGCCAGTAAAATGTAATGACTGTCATTTTTCAGTGTGTATTGCTTGTTTTTATTACAGCTGTCTGAAATGTAATTTCTGGGAACTCCCATGAGGATTACAAAGGTTACATTGTGATTTCATTAACTTTTCAAGACAAACTGGTAGCAACATTTCATCTGAATTCAGCAAACAGACAATATGAAATCAAAACTGCATTTATTTTATGTTTCATCACCATGTGCTGCAAGAATCTAAGTTGAAATAACTGAGCAGCATTCCTTTAAAAGTTTGTGTTTTCTCACCTCTTCGTCTGTGCAGGTGAACAGGTGAGTTTCTGTGTCTCACAGATCAATAAACTTGACTCGGTCCAGATGTCCCAGATGGCAGGAGGCCAATGCAAACCAATTTTTATTCATAAAAAGCCCTGACCTGTGACCCGACTGAAGCTTTTTATCCCCTTATTGTAGAATTTTATCTCGTATTGATGGGTCAACAGCAATAAAAGATCTGACCTGGTCCTTTATGCTCACAAAATGGGCTGAAAATTAAATAAGCTTACTTGGACTATACTCTTTCTTCAGTTGTGAAAGCTAAGGTTATTATCATACTAGGAGTGATAAATAATGATAAAAATCTGAATAATCTTTAAGATGCCAGAATGGAAGCTATTAAATGGAATAATAGTTTTATATTTTAAACAGTGTGCATATTTTATTTGAAAACTATATTTGTTTGCATAAAGAGAGTGTGAACATAAAGAGTCTTGTGCTTTGGGATAAAGTTTAATCTGTATTGTAAAACTGCTCTGAAATGAAACATGTAAACAGTTAAAGTGAAGAATTAGTACAGTAAAAGATGCTGCTGATTAATACATTAAGATGTTTAAAATGTTTTAGATATAGATACATTATAGGACTTGATTATCTATCCCAGTTGGAGAATATCAAAGTTTTAAGCATCAGAAGATGAAACATTTTCTCCAAACCAAAACAAATAGAAGTGCAAGTTATACTGATATCTGTAAAAATACATTGTGTTTAATAATAACATGCACTACTCCTTCCTATGATTATGTATATTTATATTTCATTGCAAGTCATAGAGAAAGATTGGAAGACATTAATTCAATCTTCCACAAATAGGGAAAAGAAAACTATCTGGATCAGTCTGGCCGGGGCAGTAGACAGCCGCTGTGCGTCCAACACAAATGTGTGCAACACTTTGTCAATATTCTACTAATGTTGAAAAAAATAAATAAGAAATGCAATTAAAATCACATGAATAAGTTTGCTTATATGATAAGGCATTAAAAAACATGCCACTCCACAATCCTCCAACTACTTCCTGTCATCTTCTTCTTTGTGGGTTTGGCCAATAGTGACATCCGGTTGTTGATCATGTGACTCACGTGAAGTGAAAAAAGTTTTTCCTCTGCAGGTTTCTGAAACAAACCGATTTAGATACGGCCAAAAAAGAAAAATCACCTCATCTGAGTGTAACCAGGATAATTTTTTCAATTTTTGATTAGATTCAGTTTTATTCATTTATTTTTATTTAAAAATTAAAATGATCTTTTCCTTAACTTATTCAGCACAAAATAAACCAAGAGAGATCAAAACAACACACTGTTCTCGCGTGGTTTTAAAGTCACATGACAGCTGCTGCTCATGTGGCTGATGAACAGCAGCCTAGGTAGGAGATGCTGGAGGGCAGGTAGGTCTGCTGTGTTTTCAAAGCCTTTATCACATATCTATGTGCAATCACTCACTCGATGCCTTTTACCCTGCAGACGTGCGATGGTTGAGCCAAACGTTGTAGCAATCACACGGTTTGTCAAGTGGGAACTGGTGAGTTCTGTTTGTTTTGGGAGCTAGGGTCAGTATGGTCACTGGTCTGAGTTTGTTTCATCATTTGGATGAAACTGAATGAGTATTTGCGTAAGTTTAACTAATGTAATGGAAACTCATTTTACTGCAGTAATTTGAACGACGTGTAAATGATCATTCAGGCCTGTTTTATACAGGCCAGGTTCTGTTCCAGATTCCCATTCCAGGATTCTGGATCTGGGTTCAGTCCCAGATCGTCTGTTACCATAGCGTCCAGACAACCCAAACAGCGGATCACAGAAACATCACATCCTATCAACTTCTTCCAAATTGGTGGGAGACCTTCAGCCCAACAATCTTCACTCTGGACTGGACCACAAAGAAGGGAACCAGCAAGAAACTGGTTGAACTTCAGTTCAACCAGTTTATCAAAGTTTTATGGACTTAATTAACTGTTATGAATAACCTCTATGTATATATTGTAAATATTAACACATTTCACTAGTTTTGCACCATTTTGTTTGTGTTTATACAAAATGCCACTTCCTCCAGAAGTTGAATCTAATCTAAGAACTATTCTGATTTGATTTAACTTTGATTTATTTAATCATTCTGATATTCCTAATGTAATATATTATGTTACACAAGCACCAAACCTTTTTATCAAAAAATACTTTTTTTCTAATTTGGCTTATATTCATCAAGCACATTTATTTTTGTGATGTCAAATTGCAAAATTATATGGTGAATGGAAACAAAGATATAGAGAGAAACAAAGTCCTGAGAATTTCAAGTGAACAAGAAGGTTAACGGAAACCAGCATTTCATCCCAATAAAGGTGGACAACAAGCCTGCAGTGACCATCCAAGGAAAAGAGACATGCTATATTGAACTGCGCACACACACGCACGCACACACACACACACACTCTGAGTTGGCTGCTGGTCTCTGGGAGCAGCGACAGCAGCGGCTTCCTGTCGGGTTTTCTGCTGTCTGGATCCTCAGGAGGCAAAAACACGGCCTGAAAATAAACCGAGTCGCTTCTAGAAAGAGACAGAGCAGCACATGTTGACACATTTTTAAGGGCACTATAAATTCACAACAAAGATGAAGACACCAACAGCTGATGGAAATTATGTGCTATTCATTGAGGAATGTCAATCGAGCTGAACACCCGGCTGCACCTCTGCTGTCAGTGACGTCTAAATTTAGAGGCTCTGGTATAAAACTGTCACACGGCTGGGAGACGTTTCTGCTGAGCCTTCAGGGAGACATGGGACAAAACCTGAGAGAACAGAGTCAGGAGAGACTAACTGATGCAGCTCAGTGGGTTTTATTCAACCCTTCTTTTTATTAGCAACCTTTAAACCTTGAATTCAGTTATTTGTGAACTGACAAGAATGTTTGAGGATTGTTTTAAACCTTTAAATACAGACGTATAAAATAGCTGTTTTTCCATTTCCTCTGTCTTCCATCAGCCACTAAGCTGTCAAAATGTTGCTTCTTTATCTGTTTGTTGCTCTTCATGGAAAATGTAGGTTGAGACCTTTTTGTTCTAAAAACTTCTCATCGTTGTTCAAAGACACTTGGAGACAACCGAGCCGCAGGGAAGAAACTAAATACGACTTACACTTTTTATGCAATTTCCTAAACTGTTGAGATCAATTGTGTTTTTTTCATTTCATGTTAAACAAATCGTCTTCTCTTTTACTGACATTTTCATTTCCTCTAAGCTGAAAGCTGGAATCTAATTGGAGAACATTTGGCTTGTGTGTGTGCATGTGTGTGTGTGTGCGCGTGTGCATGTGCATATGTGTGTGTGTGAGTGTGTGCATGCAGTTGGAGAGTCAGGGAGAAAATATGAATTTAGTGAACATGTCTTGATGACATTTTCCTGGTTTCATAGGAGCAGTGCTGCAACAAACTGTCCAAACAAAAACGCTGCAACTGCAACAAAGGAGGAACAGGATGAAAGGCCTGAAGAAAAAAAACATTCAAGCACCGAGAACATGCAGGCTCACACACTCACAACAGAGCAGGTGAGCATCATTATAAAATATATATATATA